AATCTGCATAATAGTCACGTTATAAAAGTCTTAAACCATTATGGAGCAAAAGGACCACCAGCAAAATGAACACGAGAGTGAGTGACCTGTTTGCCTTCACGTGATTAAGCTGTCCAAGCACAGGCGAGAGTCATTATTTTACCCAAACTCTTTGATATTAAAGTGGCTCAAAAGAGTAATGAAACGCATGCATGGACGGTATTAAGTATTAACCCTGACGTTAATTTGTTTTATAATAATAATAATATACACACAGAGGACTACAGATAAGGAAGGAGGGAGGGAGGGAGGGAGGGAGGGTAAGAGAGAGAGAGAGAAATCCTCTGGCATACAATTGGCTACAGTCTCATCTTGTTCCTTATATGATTGTTACCTAATGTTGTTAATGAATAAAGGCTATTCCTACTTTTGCATGTAACAGGCTCAACTTAGCTGAGGTAGGATAACAGCTCTCGCTTGCAGTTTCACTAGGAACCTCATTTGACTGCCCTTATATTAGTCTCAGTTTAAAAAAAAAGCCGTGGAGTGAGAGGAAGAGAAAGATAGTGAGAAAAGGCACATTCTCAAAGGAGCTTGTCCCAAAATGAGAAAAGTTTAAAAACAAGCTATCTCTCTATGGTAATCAGAAGCATGAGAAAAACTTACAACAGGAAGAGTTATCTCAAAGGACTTGTGGTGCCTAGTTAAAGACCCGCTTGGTTATTCATCAGGACACAATCTCACCACAAGATTACGGAAACATCAACAAAATCTCGTAGACTTGAGGCAAAGTGAAATTCAGATCAGTTGCTGCATCTATCATCAGTCTATTATGCTGGAAGCAGGGAAGGGGAAAGGAACTATCAAGGGGACAGCGTCAAGTCATTACGACTATATAGCACTGGGAAGGGGTCAGAATAATGATTTGGGATGGGACGGAGGAAAGGAATGGTAACTAAACAGGAACAAAGTCTCACAAAAAAATATATATCCAAGTCAAAACAAGAACCAATCTTTAACATTAAGAATAACATCTATTAATTATAGTATGAATAACACACTCCTGTAGTTAACAGTAAAGCATTTACTGGAAATCTAATCTGCGTTTTAATCAATTCTCGGCTGTCACTCGAGCTCAATGTTAGGTGGGGGGATATTGCCTCTCTCAGCTCTCAGTTTGTGTACACGACATGCAATGGACCACAATACCCTGCTCTCAAGTGATGGAGCAGCTATTTACTAAACGTTTGGTTTCGGTAGGTGCCTTACATATTATATATATATATATATATATATATATATATATATATATATATATATATATATATATATATATATATATATATATATTATATATATATATATATTTATATATATATATATATATATATATATATATATATATATATATATATATATATATATATATATATATATATATATATATATATATATATATATATATATATATATATATATATATATATATATATATATATATATATATATATATGTAACTGTATAACCTTGTATAATAAAGTGTACAACATTAAAACAATATTCAACATAAAATGTTGAATATAACCGAAAGGGTAAGATTAATGATTCTCAGAAGAATCTTCTCAATATTTCTTACGTGTTTCTTCACTGTCAAAGGAAGTTGAAAAATTAACTCTCCAAAGTTAATTTTTACACTTTATCATACTCTGACGCCTAGGGATGCATTACGCAAGGAACACCTTACATTTCATAAACAATTGAATCGTGTTTAACATCATATTATATAATCTTTGGGTGAGGTGGTGGATGAATGCCATAACAAGGGGGGTTATTAAATATATAAATGCATAAGTGGATCAAGGGGTATCAATGAATAAATGAATCAGGGGGGGGGGGGTATTAGTAGGGTCATTGGATGCTGTGTCTGCGTTGGCTCTGAGTCTGGAAGTGTATGTACACTTCAAGACGTTTTTTGCAGTATTAATTGGCTTGCAGCTCTCAGACGTCGTATATACATGCAACACCAGCCCGTTCTCGCGAGCGTTGCCCAACGTCAAGGAACTGTCGTACAAAATTGCCTTTGTCCTAACCTACCAGAGGACCCACGCATCGAAAACGGGACAATATGTCAATTTTTCGACCTGCTACAATTTAGTATTACAACAGTTTTTGTCCATAACCAAAGCTATACGTCAAAATGCGACGCTTTATTAGGAGGGCGGGTATACAACAGTGAGAGAGAGAGAGAGAGAGAGAGAGAGAGAGAGAGAGAGAGAGAGAGAGAGAGAGAGAGAGAGAGAGAGAGAGAGAGAGAGAGAGAGAGAGAGAGAGGAGCGCACAGACCCAGCGGAAGCGAACTTGGCACATCTGCCACTTCAGCTCACCCTTCAATAAGGACACCACTGGTTGGCTCACTGAGCTTGTCCTCCACTCCAGCGACCTCCACCCCGTCGGGTTTACGCCTCTCCTCGACTCATTCAGTGCGTCTTTCTGACGTCCTGGTCACGACGGCCCATTATTGGCCCAACCTCCCACTTCATGCAGGGCAATTGCTAAAAAAAGGGGTAGTTTTAACAGCATTGTAGGCCCCTGGGGAAAGTAATGCAATGGAGCCCCTCTTCCCAGATGGGCCCTGAGCCCCCTACCCAAATGATGGGCCCTGGGCCCCCTTACTTAGATGATCGACTCCGTCTGTACGCTAAAGAACAGGATTATCCTCATATAATTATGACAGAATTATATATACAATAAATAGAATTTGAAAGGGAATTGAATCCGAGGCTTTTCCAGCGAAAAGCCCAGTGATTATCTACTATGCCAAGAGATCTCATGAACAATATGGCAGCATGGGGCTCCCTAGACTCGTGTGGGACCCTGGGGCCCCACATTGATCCAGTGTGGGCCCGACGTCAGCGTCGTCGTCTACCCAGAAACATCGTCGTCTACCCAGAAACATCGTCGTCTTTTGGTGTGTGGTTTAGCCTCCACATCTTCAGCCACGTTATTGTGACTCCTCGTCTGCAGCCGGAGTGTATCTATACATGGACTTCCAGTAGGTATATTCAGACTAGTGGTATATCGTTCCATAGTTTGGTATTTCGTTTTATTTCATTTTTTCTTTCCTTTTTATCAGTATGCTTCAGACCGACAGCTGAGTGGACAGCGCTCGGGATTCGTAGTCCTGAAGTTAAGGGTTCGATCCCCGGTGGAGGCGGAAACATATGGGAAGAGTTTCTTTCACCCTGATGTCCAAATTCACCTAGCAGTAAAATTGATACCCGAGAGTTAGACAGCTGCTACGGGCTGCTTCCTGGGGGGGGGGGGGGGGTACGTAACAAAAAAGGAGGCCTGGTCGAGGACCGGGCCGTGGGGACGCTAAGCCCCGAAATCGTCTCAAGATAACCTCAAGAAACTGCGTTAAGACCAGGTGGACTGGAACCAACTCAACGACTCCAAGAGATTTGATGAGACACAAGCTACGTCATTCACTTCAGTAATTCAACAGCATTTCTATTCATCCTCAGATGAAATCATATTCATCATCAGTATGCATCCAGATGTATGCTGATACACCTGCATGGTGTTCCACCAGACACCTGGACTGTGCTACTAAATCTGGAATACATTAGCAGATTACACACGGTACAAAGGGTTACATATGGTTGCATACACAAAAGTATGTACATTCTTCAAGTATTATATGTAATATCTAAGATAACAAAAAAGATAGTTCCAAATAGTACATTATTTATTAAACAATATGAAGGAACGACTGAATGACCTTAGCTAATACATCATTGATAAATCAAGACAGGTAAGGTGAATATACTTTTTTATATGTGCTTGTTTACTATAATATATAGTAATACGTATAATATTTGCTATAATATATGCTCATATATATTATAGAGGAATTTACTCGAAATCCAATGGATGACATCATCCAAATAATTAGAACTACAATCGCTTCATAAATATGTTTAACTAGATCTGGTTTTATGAGGATTTTAGCAGAACTAATGAAGAATGATTTTAGATATTGTGGTGAACCTTCTAATCTCCTTTACACCACCGCCCAAGAGATGGGTATGAGGTGCATAATAAATCAAGAAATTGAATTCTCGTAACATATCCGGAGCTTGTAAATCTGTGGGAAAAGGAGAACAATCCCTATTGCACAAAACATTGACGGTGAAATCATATTTGTGTGATATTGGTCAATCCCCCTGTTCTTGCCTCGGCTACAAACTACAGGCTGTCAGAACAGATATTTAAATGCACAGAATTCTGTCATACGCCTTGTTGTCATTCCGTTTGTTTCCATCCCCTTCTCCGTTGCCCCCTCTCCTTTTTTTTCCCCTTCTTCTCTCCCTTTCTCTGCGTTCCCCTTCCTTGTCCCAACTATTTTTAGACCCTTTTCCCTACCATTAAAGCACAGGATTTTTTTTTTTCTTGGAATTTTCGTGATTCACGGAAATTTTATGATTGCTGCGGGAAAGTGGAGTTGATGGGTTTAAATATCTGTTACATATGTCTATGTGAATTGAACGGTTAGGTTACGAGTCTTTTTAGCTTGATACACGTTATAGTAACATTTATATTCAGATAACCATCACGATAAATAACCCAACTCACGCATGAAATGATTGGAAAGAGGCAATGTTTGTGCCCCCAACCTGGGACCTTATCAAGACACAACTGCAAATTGAAGCTAAGTGTATACACACTTCTCAGCATTTGCGTATACAACAGCTTGTTTGCTTGAACGCCCCGAAGGCGTATATTTGTTCGATTGTGTGTGTGTCCAAACGGGTATATATATATATATATATATATATATATATATATATATATATATATATATATATATATATATATATATATATATATATATATATATATATATATATATATTTGTGATGCATCTGCATGGTTGTTTTTGTGTATATCTATAGACCTATATATGTGTGTGTGTCAATGAAGATATATACTATTACAAGAATGTATACAAATGGACTCACCAACCAGAAGCAGCAGATGGGAGAGGGTAGGTGTTAAGACCATATTCTCCTCTCTGCAATGCGTTAATGCTATGCAACGTATTAATAGGCCATCAATAACACAGTCACTTAAGTGTCTCACTAAGGCGCCTTGCACTAGTTCTCACTTGAAAAATTCATTATTGTTGACTAAATGATAAATAATTATTTCTGATATATATAGACACGATAACCTTTTTTTCAAATTGGTCTATTTCTTCTCTGCTTTTTTATGTTTAGTTCCAAGAATGGTTTTAAGCATTTAATATTTGTACTAAGTCATGTGGTAAGTTTTTCTCAAATTGCTTTTTATTCCCTTCACCGAGGTTTTGGGTCCCAATAATATATATAATGTGTGTGTGTGTTACCAGCTGGGGGTTGTATTTGTAGGGACCCTCGGCCTGGAAGAAGAGGATATATAGCACCCTGGGAAGCCTTGTGGGGCTCCCACATATTGTCTTCTCCAACCTTCCCTAATATATTTCTAAATATTTTTTTTTATTTCTAATAACATTTCAAATGTTCACAAAATGGGTTTCATCATTGTAAACATACAAATTAGAAAGTTAGTTGTCACAGACTCTGTGTGTGTGTGTGTGTGTGTGTGTGTGTGTGTGTGTGTGTGTGTGTGTGTGTGTGTGTGTGTGTGTGTGTGTGTGTGTGTGTGTGAGTCTAAACATCAAATAGTAAAATGACACGAAAGTTCCAAAAGTTTTCGAGTTTTACCACATTATCAAGGAAATACAGCATTGTATGTCCTGTATTTCCTTGATAATATGGTGAAAAACAACAGCGTTCGGAATTTTCATTTCATTTTCCTAATCGATAGATAATCATAACAAAATCTCGTGTTTTCTTATTATTGCTGAAAATTATATATATATATATATATATATATATATATATATATATATATATATATATATATATATATATATATATATATATATATATATATATATATATATATATATATATCGCCCAGGAAACAAAACTAAATGACAACGTCTGATAATATTTTACATATGTCTCCATTGCACATATAATTAATTATCACTGCTGATAGATAACTTTTCCCTGATTAATTTTTCATCAATATGCTATACAGGTTTCTTGATTTTCTTTTCAACATTAACGAATATAATTTGAGGGTAATTACTTTTCCTCAGAGTATAATGAAATGATAAAAATTACTTAAAACCTTTTCACATAAAAATATCTTGTTCTGATGTTAGATAAATGAAATGTTTTATATTATTTGTTATATATTATTATATAATAATAATTATATATTATTAGTTATAGATTATTGTATATCTATATTAATATATTATAGTTATTTATTATTATATAATATATAACTTAATTAACAACGTTGCGGAAGGAGGTAATTATTATTTTCATGACGCCAGGCACTTCAGTTTGACAATCTATTACGTATGGAGTAAAATATGATACTTATACACTCGGGAAAAGTTCACTTATTATTGTTCCTCAGTTGGCTATATATAGGTACATATAAACTTGCCCTTTTTAGGGCTTTAAATGCTCTAATGAACACCAACGTCGCTTGTTTGATCTATAGAAATGAAACTTTTTGCTTTTTACTCGGTAAAAAAAAATTAATAATATAGGGTTGTCAAAAATTTATCTATACAGCGAGTCGAGCTACGACAAGAGCTCCAGCTAAAAAGGACGAGCACGGTGCTGCCTCCCCAAGTGCCGTCAAGTCACTGAGGCTGCTAGCTCCCGTGTAGCCATACTCGGCCAAGTTGCACTGACGCGCATGCGTAGTTGATTTCAACTTTCTGAGTGTGTGTGTTTTTCCTTCTCTCTCTGTCTCGGTCTTGGCTATTATTTAATTGCATATTTGGTTTTCTTTATTAGCAACTCGGTGGGAAAATAAATGGCATGCAATGACGGCGAATATGTGCAAAACTAAGCGATCTGTTTGGCACGCACACACGTACACACACACACACACACACACACAATTTGTTGATTGACGGTTGAGAGGCGGGTCCAAAGAGCCAGAGCTCAACCCCCGCAAACACAACTAGGTGAGTACAACTAGGTGAGTACACACTCTCACACACACACACACACACACACACACACACACACACACACACACACACACACACACATATATATATATATATATATATATATATATATATATATATATATATATATATATATATATATATATATATATATGTGTGTGTGTGTATATATATATATGTCGTACCTAGTAGCCAGAACGCACTTCTCAGCCTACTATGCAAGGCCCGATTTGCCTAATAAGCCAAGTTTTCCTGAATTAATATATTTTCTCTATTTTTTTTCTTATGAAATGATAAAGCTACCCATTTCATTATGTATGAGGTAATTTTTTTTTTAATATAGTTAAAATTAACGTAGATATATGACCGAACCTAACCAACCTTACCTAACCTAACCTAACCTATCTTTATAGGTTAGGTTGGGTTAGGTAGCCGAAAAAGTTAGGTTAGGTTAGGTTAGGTTAGGTAGGTTAGGTAGTCGAAAAACAATTAATTAATGAAAACTTGGCTTATTAGGCAAATCGGGCCTTGCATAGTAGGCTGAGAAGTGCGTTCTGGCTACTAGGTACGATATTTATATATATATATATATATATATATATATATATATATATATATATATATATATATATATATATAATTCGTTAATCTAAGGATCTTCTCAACCCTGACACAAATTAATTAATGAGTTCTCGGCGAAGAGAAGCTGCAATTCCAGGAAAATAGAGAAGTAGGAGAACTAGTCTCTCGTTAGCGTGATGTCCTCCTTGAGTGTGAAGGAAGTACTGTCTCTTCCTCCTCCTTAGTTTTATTTTTGCCTCTTGTGAGACCTCGTCTAGGTCACCTCTTAGTCATACAAAGGGGTTTTCTTCCTGAAGTTGGTGTTCGTTGCTTTATAATTCTTTTTTAGTCTTAAAGCTAAAGAATAAGGTAAAGATTTGTTTGAGTAATAGCGGATGGATGGAAGAGTAGAGTATGAGTAAATATTCGTCGGATTGTAATGTGCTGTACTATGAAGCCTTCTTTCATTTTCTTCTGTTTAGACTCTTGTGTCTAGAAACCTGAATTCACCTGAGAGCCGCTAACATTAGGGGTGTTTGTAGAGGACAGGATTCTGGCGGCTTGTTAAAGGTTCCCTCATTTGGCCTGATGATCTTTTCCAACTCTTATTATTGATCAGAGTTTTGACATTTACGACTTCGGCCAGTAGGCGGTTTCTTGATTTTGTATTTATGTGGGTGAAAAGGCATCTCCCGTTGTTAGTCCTACGCTGTGGCTTCTTGAACTTCAAATCGTTGCTCCTTGTGTTATATTTTTTGAGATATTGTCTGGATCAACATCCTCCAAATTGTTCAGTATTGTAAAAGTTTCAATGAGATCCGTCCTGTCATGCCTGGTTTGCAGTGTTGTTAGCCCTGTGGCCCTCAACCTTTCCTGATAAGTGAGTTGACTTAGCTCTGAAATGATTTGTATTGCCCGGTGTCGCACTTTCTCCAGAGCAGTTATGTCTTTCTGGAGATAGGGTCCCCATGCCTGGATGCAATAATCTAGGTGGAGACGCACCAGACTTATACAGTTGAATGACTACCTTCTTTTCCTTAAAGACAAAAGGTACGCTTGATTATTCCTAGGGTTTGGTTAGCTTATTTTTACTCCTCCCCTCCCCCCCCCCCCCCGTCTTGTGCAACTTTCAGTGAATGAAAGAGACATAAGGTTAAAAGACCTTAGATTAAGGACCTGCCCGAAACGCTGCGCGTACTAGTGGCTTTACAAGATTGTAAATACTATGCTATGTATTCTCACAAACCCAATGTACCTTCTTGTATATAAAAATAAATAAATAAATGATTGATTCTGACTCAAAGGCCCTTTGTTTGGTCAATCTGCTGCAGGGTAATGCTGTTGATTTGGTAGTTGTGGTGTGGGTTGTTATGCCCTGCATTTTGGGTCTTGCATTTATCGATATTAACAAGTATTTGCCAGTCTTTTGAACATATGTGGTGTTCATGTAGATCTCTTTGTAAGGTCTCAATGTCTTTTTCCCTTCCCACTTTTCCATAAATCTCTGTGTCATCTACAAATTTGATGATGTGATTTGTAATGATCATAACTATGTCATTGATGTATATAACAAAAAGGGTTGGCCTCAAAATGGACCCCCTGTGGTACCCCACTTACCACATTTCTCCAGTCAGGTTCGTTCCTATCTAGCACGACTCCTTGTTTTCTTTGTTTTAACCATTGGTTAATCCATTCCAGTATTAGCTTATTTATTCCATATGCGTGTAGTTCCCTTGTTAGTCTTTCATGTGGTCCCTTGTCAAAGGTTTTAGCAAAGTCCATGTAAACTACATCAACCGGAAGTTCTATGTCTGAATAGCTGAGTTACCGATTCCAAAAATGTGAGAAGGTTTGTGAGGCAGGATCTATTTTTAACAAACACACGAGTCGTTGATATTACTAGATTGCTCTCTGTGAGATATTGGATGATCCCCCTCCTCTTAGGATTTTCATGCTTGCAGATGTGTGATGTCAATCTGATCCGAAGGTAGTTTTCTGCCGAGCACTTTCTGCCTTTTTAGAAAATAGGGGTAACATTTGCATATTTCCAATCTACGGAAACTATCCCTTGGTGCAGGGATTTTATGAAAAGAAGTTTCAGTAGTATGCATAGTGCAATTGCCAGTTCATTTACGACATTGGATTGAATTCCATCAACACCTGGGGCTTTTGAGTCGTTTAGTTTGCCAATGCTCTTCCTGATTGTGTTGCAGGTTACGTGTATATCCCTTAATTCGTTTCCCTCGCCTCCTTCAAATGTGTTGTGGGTGATGGGATGTCATCCAATCTTTCTAGTGTGAACACTGATGTAAAGTATTCATTCAGTGTTTGCTGCCCTGGTATAATTAGTTATGACTTGGTTAGTCTCATCTTTTATTGGATCATATCGAGTCTTTTGTTTTGGTTTTACTTCGTATATAGACATAGAATGACGTTGGTTCTTCCATTATGTTTTGCGCAAGTTTTCTTTCATAGTTTGTTTTGGGTGATCTGATTTCCTGGGTGGCTAAATTTAATGCCCTTTTATATATCTCATAATCTATGAGGGTGGCTAAATTTAATGCCATTTTATATATCTCATAATCTATGATGTCAGTCGTGGAATTATAAAGGCTCCAGAGGTTCCGATTAGTTAACACAGCTGTTTTCACTACTTGAGTCATCCATCTTGTTCCCGTTCTTCTTTCTCCTTTTTTGGCACATTTTTGAACGAGTTCAGTAATGACCTTTTGGAAATTTCTTCATGATGTTTCCATACCCTGATCACCAATCAGCTCCCTCCAGGAGGTGTTTCGAAATGTTTGTATCACTCGTTTCTACTGTAAACCTTAGGTTTGTATAAACCGTATTTGCCCAATTAAAGCAATGTTCGAGCTCTTGCCTTCCACCTGGCATTATTTTAAAAATGACCCCAATATAGCGTAGGTTTCATATTCTGTGACCGCTGTATTCGAACTGATTCAGACACTGTGTGGACAAATTTTTCGGCTATTGCCACACTACTTAATGCCCCCTATTGTTGTACCCTTTATTTGTCTAAAGGCTCTTTAGTCGAATGTTTGTACAGTGTCCCTCATTACATGGAGGACAGCTTTTTTAGTAAGTTCATTCACTGGTGGCCTAATTACTCCTACTGCCTGCCTAAGATCCTGCCTGATACTGTGTTTGATAAAGCCAAAGAATTCCGCCACCCTCCTGGCTGCTTCTCTCTGTTGTTGACATGCGAACTCATGAAGGATTTGGGTATACTTTGGTCGCTTTTCAAGGACAGAGGATACCCAAAAAGGATTCTACAGGAAGCAGCAAACTTACTTTCGACCCAACAGAGGCGGGACCGTCTGAGGACCGGACGGCAGCGGACTCCCCACTCCAGGATGGCGCTCCCTTCAACGTATATTCTTGCAGCATCAAGAACCTACAGGGAGGTGATAAACAAACTTTGGCACTGGATGGAGGGCACCTTTAAGGAGCGCCCAGCGTGGCCACATTTCCCTTTGAACATCTCCTCTTCCTCTCTGAGAACCTGGAAAAGTTAAGGGGGACAGGATTATCAGGGGGGAAGGGAAAGCGCCAAACCATTACGACTATACAGCACTAGCAAGAGGTCGGGATAAGGATTTAGGATAGACGGGGGAAAAGGAATGGTACCAGACCACTTGGACGGTGAAAAGGGGGGAGCCTACTTGCACGGTAGGCTACTAAGGGCATGTTGCCCTACTCACCCTCAGTAGAAAGGGGGAGACCGCGAATTAGAATAAAATCTATTCTAACCTGGTGCAAACCCGAGGGACTCCTTAGTTTTGACTCCACCGCAGGTGGGTACTGGAGCTTCTAATAGTTATCAGTGTGTAAATAAATGGCATGCAATGGCAGCGAATATGTGCAAAACAAAGCGATTTTTTGGGACACACACACACCTACCTACCTACCTGTGTGTGTGTGTGTGTGTGTGTGGGGCCGTAGGTATGTATGCAGGAGTGTATGTATCTTTCTATCCATCTGTCCATTCATCTATTTATCCATCCATCTATATATCTATCTATCCATGTATCATGTCCCTTCCTCTTACCCTGTCCCCTCCTCACCCCTCCACCCTCA